TAATTTATATAAGGAAAACTAAAAACCTCTGATAAAAGAAATAAAAAAGGGAACTAACAGAGGGATAGTATACATCCATGGATAAGAAGATTCAATATTATCAAGTCAATTCTTCCCAACTTGTACTACAGATTCAACACAATCCCAGTAACTAATCTTGTGAATACTGACATATTGATACAAAGTTTATACGAAGAGGTGAAAGACCTAGATTAGCTATCAGAATGCTGAAGCAAAGAACAAAGTTGGAGGACTGACATTACCTAACCTCAACACTTACTATACTACTTGAAGCTCCAAGACTACAGCTATAGTAATCACAAAAGCATGGTGAAAGAACAGACAAATAGGTAAATTAAACAGAATACAGTCCAAAAATATACCCATATAAATACGGTCAGCTGATCTTTGGCAAAGGAACAAAGGCAACGGATACAATGCAGAAAAGATAGTCTTTTCAACAAATGGTGACATAACTACACATTCACATGCAAAAAAAAAAAAAAGAAAGAAAAAGAAAGTCCTGTCATTCACATCAACATAAATGAACTTGGAGGACATTATGTTAAGTGAAATAAGATAGACGCAGAAAGATGAATACCACATAATCTCACTTACATATGGGGTATAAAACAGTCTAACTCATAGAAACAGATGGTAAAACGGTGGTTACCAGAGGCTGAGGAGTAGTGGGGTTAGGAAAATATTGGTCCAAGGATACGAAATTTCAGTTAAACAGGAGGAATAAGTCCTAGAGTTCTACTCTAACAGGTAAGTTCTAGAGTTCTACATTATGGTAATTATAGCTAATAAAAATACATTGCATATTTGAAAATCACTGAGAATAGAATTTAAGTATGATCTCACCACAAAAAAAAAAAAAATGGTACGTGAGGTAATACATGTTAAATGGCTTGATTTAGCCATTCTACAATGTATACATATATCAAGACCATATATCTACACCATAAATAAAAACATATTTCACTTCTCAATTAAAAAAAATTTTACAAACCCCAAATCGACTAGATACTAGTATAAAACACAAAACTATAAAACTCCTAGAAGATAACATAGCAGGAAATCTAGATGACCTTGGGTATAGCAATGACTTTTTATTTTTTATTTATTTTTTGGGGATGGGGTCTTGCTCTGTTACCCAGGCTGGAGTGCAGTGGTGTGATCTCAACTCACTGCAACCTCTGCCTCCCAGGATCGAATGATCCTCCCACCTCAGCCTTCTGAGTAGCTGGGATCACAGGCACGTGCCACTACTTCAGGCTAATTTTTTGTATTTTTGGTAGAGATGAGGGTTTTACCATGTTGCTCAGGCTAGTATTGAACTTCTGATCTGCCTACCTTGGCTTCCCAAAGTGCTGGGATTACAGGCGTTAGCCACCACTCCTGGCCTGACAATGACTTTTTAGATATAACATCAAAGGCATGATCCATGGAAGAAAATTGGTAAGCTGGACTTCATTAAAATAAAAAATGTCTGCTCTATGAAAGAAACTGCCTAGGCCGGGCACGGTGGCTCAAGCCTGTAATCCCAGCACTGTGGGAGGCCGAGGCGGGTGGATCACGAGGTCAAGAGATCGAGACCATCCTGGTCAACATGGTGAAA